CGGCGGCTGCTTGAACAGGAAGAGGGAGCGACGATCTAGGGTTTCACACCCACGTTTCACACGTTCAAGCCACAGGTAATTGCAACTAAATTTCAATAATTTTCATTGATTTTTTAATTCTGATTACAACTGTTTATATAGAGAATATTACAGAATTTAAAAACTCAATCAAATCTCTCTAAATCTTATCCAATAACAAACTACATAACTAATAACAATTCTGATCTAAAACCAACTACTAAACTGAAAAATAACTAAAAAATCTAAATATCAGAACCATATCCCTGCGATCTGATGTGCGGCTGGAATACGTCGTCTCCTACGCTGATAAACACGGCGAAAGTCCCGTGCACGTGCCTGGATGTCCTCATCAGATAATAATATGAGGGGAGCAAAATGTGGGTTTATTAGATAATCCAAATTAAGCTTGGAGAGAAACCAATAGTTTTGAGCAGAGGGGACATGATGGCCTCCATATGTTTACATGTCCACGTATGAGTGACAGCATCGGAGAGCGTGAAAGGGGATGAATCTCTTGGAAACTGAAGGCTGAAACTTTGGGCCCTGATGATGATAAACTCACATTTTAAGTGTTTATGCAGGGATTAGTTTATGTGGATTGTGGAACTTAATCAAAATCACAAGCTGATATGCTTTGTTGATGTCATGCCTAGAAGTAGATGATGCAATAATAGCGTTAATTTTAGGGATGCTATGGTACTTGTTTTGGACCCTCTCGTTTGAATTTGTACTGCAGTACAATAGATTGAAAGAAAAGTACAAATAATTTATGGGTGAGACTCACTAGCTGTCACTCTTAATTGGTACAAATAATTTATATGATACTCTTTTTTCTTTTTAAGTTTTCATACATCTTTTAGAAAAATTTTAATAGGTGAGACTCACTAGCTGTTTGAGCTAATTTGATCACAACCCATGTCTAAGAGAGTACAAATTCTACTAAAACGTTCCACAAGTGGAGTGAATATTTTGAGTCGTTTAGAGAACAATATTGTGGAGAGAGTATGGAGATCTCACAGTAATTGGGTTAAGGGTGTTCTAACAGATCCATATTCTATTTAGAATGCGTTTAACGACAGAACCCCGGTAATATAGCTCAATCGTGGATAAACACATTGTAGTTTTATTGGTACGGACAGACCTCTTGAGCGAACAACTTTGACTTTTTTTTTGACAGAGGAATCGAACCCAAGATCTCTGGAGTCATATTGGAATTTATTAACCATCTGAGTTCTGAGATTCCCAACAAATTTGACTCTTTTAAGAGTCAAAAAATTCACTCAAGAAGCATATCCATACTCGGGTAAATAATACATGTACTAGAAGACTATTTGCAATTGGGCGATACTACAGAAGGTCTATCCGCAGTTAACCCTAACACCAAGGTCACTGGCTGCTTTCAACTGCCATTGCTCACTGGCAGCATGTCCTGAATTGTGGGTTGGCTGCTTGAAAGTCATCCAATGATTTCCCCCAGAGAGAGAGAGAGAAAGAGAGAGAGAGAGAGAGAGAGAGAGAGAGAGAGAGAGAGAGAGAGAGAGGCACCCGATCGACACACAAGTGTCAAGTGAGAGGCATGATGGGGTTCGAGTGCACCTGCGGAGCTGATCAATTATGCACTCGATCAAGGAATATTTGCAATCTATGGCAGACGGGCATGACACGTGGAATCACTCTTACTAAGATATAACGAAGAAAACTATAGTTATACAATATATACATGCATATGTATGCATGTACATAGTCGCATGCTAGGGGAATAATTGATTGTGAATATTGAGGATGATTCTCTACCCAAAAAACCAAGTGATACACTCTCACCTTTCG